GTGAGTGGTCTTTCAGGTCAATTGGCTCTGCCAAACTCTGAAAACCTGATTCGGTCCGTAGCGGGGCAGACACAAAGTATGCTGTTTCATCATTTTTCAAAAAGAGGCGATACATACTGTCTTCCTACAGTCCGAGTCTCTGCATATGCTGATTCAGACAGTGACATATGAGAAGGCCTATTAGATGTCGTAGTTCATCTCTATTGTAGTCTAACAACTGTTTGGTTTCAAGCTTCGAAGTGTGAATGAACGCCATGGAGTGAGCCAATCCTGGAAGATTTTGCCAAAAGTCCATAAATCTTCTTGCCATCCAGGTGTTCAATGTTTGTTTGGCAAAACGTGAATCGATGCCAATGACAGGTTCTGATCCGATGAAGCTGCTTGCAGCACCCTCCTTTGCAAGAGAGTCAGCAGCCTCATGCTTGATAATGCACCAGAGTCAAATACTAACATCACAGTTTCTGCGTGGAAAACAATGGGACCACCTTGGACCTTCACCACATCGTTTTTGATAATATCTACCGCAGTAGTAGAAGTAATGTCAGGCATAAAAATATATAGAACACGGAAAAGAAGCCCGAAAAGTAGCTTTCACACAATTATTGGCTTGATTTGATTTGAGAAAATCAAATTTGGAGCTGTTTCTAAGGACTTCAGAGAAAAATCCTTCGTTGATTCGGCTAAAAGCAGATAAAAAATCATTCTCTGCCGTGGTAAATACATCGAATAAATAAAGTATTCATTTGTACAGGTTTGTATATGCATTATAACACATGTGTTTTTTAAAGTTGTAGATTTCGTGAACCCTTTCGGTTGCGATAATTTTATAAATTTCATCCAGCATATTTGGTTGAAAAAACAATTTTGAGGTTTTCTAACGCCCTTTCGTGCCATCGGTGTCGGCTGTCCGACCACATAGCAAGCCGCAGGTCTTCTTAAATATTTTCAATTTGACATAAGGGTATCGCTCTACCATAATCGTACTAAAATGCCTGTAAAAACCCATGTTGCTAGTATTATATGGCTGGTGGTATTATGAAGGAATGTTTTCATTTGTTCAAACATATCTCTAAATATCTATGATCGAAAAAAGTATCATTGGATTTTGAATACAGCAATGATAATTGCAAACTTTCATAATATAGATTTTATTTCCAAAATGCCTTTACTACTTACTACCTTTGGACTGGTACTTCACACTACTTCATAATGCAATTTATACAAATTATCGACCTTAATCAATAGAGATTACTAATTGGTAACTGGTAGTTTCAAGAACAGGTTTTTCTGTATGTACAAAGCAGGTAAATTATTGTTATAGTGCATAGAAAGTCAGTTCGAATGGCATAAAAAACTACATGGTTACCGAATACGTCGGTAATTTCTTTGTATACTACCTGTTTACCAATTAGTAATCCCTATTAATTAAGTTCCATAATTTGTAAAGATTCCATTGTAAAGTAATGTGGAGTACTATTCTAACTGAGGATGCTACTCTGTAGTGAAACGTGCATAAGAAATAAAGTTTTTATTGTGAAAATTTATGATTATCATGAATAGAATTAACTTGAGAAATAAATGTCATTTGAAGATGTGTGATCTGCCTGTGAACGAGGTAACCAATCGCCAGTATGCCCACTGATTATATTTGAAAACATTTTTTCCTTATACGAGGAACTGAGCAAATTTTGGATATGCGGTTGGTTACTTTGTTCACATGCAGATGGGGCGATGACAAACCTGTTGTTTGTTGTCCACGTCAGCCTAGTTTGAGGAATGATTTTCAATTATCGGAAATCATCGACTTTATGCAGATATATGTACTTCAAGACTTTTTTAGTTCTCTTCTATCGATGCCTTGATAACTACAAATTCAAGAACTTATGTTGCACAAATTTAGGTCTCATATTTAGTTATCTCAAGTTCATATCTCCTAATCTTTTTATTCAAAAAACACTTTCTTGTGGGATTTTCACAAAAACGCAACAAGTGGGATATAATAGCACTTCCACTGAACTTTTTATTTTGAAATTTAAATTACTTGCCTCTAGTAGTTAGAATTTTCGAACTTTTGGAGAGTGTCTTTATGATTTTCATCAAATATCGACCGATTCCATCAAAAATCTTCTTATTATTTTCTTCTTTTCCATTTTTTTCTGTTTCTTCATATTCGTCATAGTTATTTTTTGTTGTGTCACAGAGAAAAATCAATTTCATAGGACGTTGTTGTCATTTTATGTTCAATTATGATTACTCTAGTTTTTTCAATACCTAGAAATTTTTAGGTTGTCACCATTCTTCATAATTCTGCTATTCTCATTTGGAGTTTCTCCAGTTCATGTCAGGAGTTTGTTCTTGAGCTGTTTTCATTTTTTCTATAAATATGAATTCCATAATTTTTCATTAGTGTAATGTTTCTTGATACTTTTATAATTGATCAAAAATTCAGAAGATAAAGTTTGAGTTGTTAGTAAAAATCATATTGTAGAAATTTTTACAAAATCTACTTGTAAGCCAACGTAATTTTCAATTACAGAATTGTCAAAAAACTATGTAAAGTAAAGACTCCGTAACTTATTATACAACTAGAAACACATGCGCACAAACACCCCTTCGTAACGGTTCAAAATTTTCAAGCAGTTCTCATTTCTCAGCATTCATCATCCTGCAGATTAAAATGAGATATGAATCTCAATTTCGTCCCTGCAGATGTAATCAATCCTGTTGATACAGCTATAGACCACATGTCATTATATGTGGGATTGACAATCTGAAGTATCTCTTCACATGGATTTATCGGGCATCCACTCCCACTGTTCTTTAATTTAGAGTATACTGTAAAAAATGGCGTTATTTCCAACCCCGTTCTACAGTTCGGTGTCTTTCTAACAGGGTAGAGTGGAGCAAAAATGACCTACTACGAAAAAATGTGAAGTACCATATTTTTTGAAAAGAAATGCTTTCTTTTTGAAAACTATCAGTTCACTAACATAAATATTTGTCAAATGATTGAAAGTTAATTGAAAATGTAAAACTTGTTGAAGTCCTTTTCTAAAAATGCAGATTGCTCCATAGCTCCATGTCTTACATAAAAGAGTATGTAAATTCACAATTGATGTTATTTATTTTGAACTAGGCAGCATACAAGTTAAACGGTTTTAAAATATGTTTCAAATGGTACTTGCATTGGCAATGAGGAGAAGAATCAAATGAGTTGACAAAGATCGAGAAAAACTCTTGATTTCTTCAGGTTTTTGAAGTGGAAGCTGCAGCGATAGGACTTATATTGTTTGGCGGTTGATGTCGAACTTGCGTTGTAGAGCCTTGGGCAGCGCGCTCATCTTTAAGATTCGAATAATGAGTCTTCTGTTGATCTCATGAATGGTTTTTTCGTAAGAGGAGATGTGAGAGTCTTACTTACTCAGGCTTGTCTTTTGAAGACCTTTGAGTCAAGCAATGCATCCATGGTTCAGCCTAGAATCACTAATTAAACCTATGCTTGATCAAAATAGTGCCTCTGGTGTTGTATGAGGTCTTTGGATACTAATCGTGTCATCCTCCAAATAGTCCTTTGCCTTGGCAGTGAGTGAATAGAAACTTCAGGAAGAGCCGTTAAAGCTTCTTTAAGTGAAAGCAGATATTTATTACAAAATGCTTTCCTCCAAATCAACTTTAGCCTACCACTACGTTTAGTTTATAATTTCAGAAGCACACAGAAGCACACAAATTAATGCCGCATCTGTTACTCACCGATCCCAGACACAAGCCCCTACTTCCACTAATTTCTTTACTTGATAGCGTTTTTTTAAATATTTTTCAGCACTTTAATTTAACGACTGCGCATGTTTTAATCAAGATGATTTGTCAGTATAGTTTAATTACCAACTGCTGGCGACTGCTGATTTTTCAGGTCTTCCATATTTTAAGTGTGCTAAGTGTTCCTTATATCTGATTATGATAGATCTTTCCGTCTGTCCTGAAAGTTTCATCTCAAGGAATAAAAAAGATTAGTTCCGGTTCTGGTGTTATGATTATGTAAATCTGACTGCTGTGAACATTTGTTTACATGCTTTTTAATAGTTCCACATAATTTTTATAACGTTTTCGCTGCTGCATTTCATGAGATAAAAAATATTTTTATTACATACCTTTGAGATGAGTTATCCCAGAAACACACTCCATAAAATATAAGTTGATGGAACATGAATAATGCCATTGCCCTACGCTGGCCTGGCTCGAAAGCCTTTCAACTGGGCATATTTCCTCTATCCAAACGCCAAAGGACTCGTGGTCATCCAATCCAGCGGGGGTCGAAGACTCAAAATTTTATTGAATACCAAAATGAATTCCAATTCTTTACATGTTACAATATAACATTAACATATTATGCTATTTGAACTTAAATAAACAATTCTGTATAAAGTGATATATAAGTAATCGCAAGTTATTCCATATCATCATCATAATTTAAATCTATACAAATATTTCTATTTTTTCTGTTTTAAACAATCCATTTTGTCATAAATATCAGAGTTCAGAGTTTCATGAATCAGTTTTTTGAGTACTCATAGGATTGCCTAGATTGGTAAGATCGTCGTCATTTCAATTTGGCAACACTGGTAGCTTACCTCTCACTCGTCCCACTCGTTTCTCACTACACTCTCTGCCCATTCATTCGCCACGCATATCCATTCATTTCTCCTTCCATTCCTATCTCTTAACTGCATACCTCCCTTTTCTTGTTCCAGCCGTTCTTTCCATTCACGCCAACCAACTCAATCTCTGTCCATACATCTCTCTATCACATGTTCTGCCGTTTCAGGCTCCCCCCCATTCACATGGGCACGGCACCTCCGGCGCCAGGTTAATCCCGGGAAGTTATCGTGCCTCCTGAACAGTTTAACTGCCTTCCTCGACAGATCCAGTGACTCATATCCGACTACTTTACAGACTCTGTAGAGCAGTCGCCCAGTCAGGCCATTATTCCATTCTCGCTGCCATTATTCCATAATCCATCCCTTAATCGTCTTTCTCTCGTCGTTCTTGCTACTCATTTTTCTTACATTCCATGAAATGCTATCCTTTCTTAAGCCTTTCGTGGCCGCCTTGTGGGCCTTTTCATTGCCAAGATTATCATTTCGGTGCCCTCTTCGCCATAAGATTTCGGTCCGTGCTCCCCTTTCATACCTCGGTTCAACCATTCTCTGAATCATTGCCACCCTTTTATTCTTCACTCGTGCCACTTTCATCCTTTCCACCGCTATTGCAGAATCACTAATCACCCTGACATTCTCATTCATACCCCACATTTCTATCACTCTCTCTATCGTGATCAGTTCAGCTTCATTCACACTGCTCTGTTCGGGAATCTTCTCATTTCCTAGAACCCATTCACTCTCATTCCTTTCGTACGCCCGGCCTATGCCCATTCTTTCCTCGCCCTTCCTCGCTCCGGCATCCACATACACCTCAATCATCCCTTCGATCTGCGACTCCTCCAGTAAATCCCATTGCATCCAGGGAAGTATCTTGTCTATACCTTTCATTCTGTCTTCAATCTTCCTTTCCCCGTTCATTCTCCAATCATGGCATGGCATGGCTTCTATGTGAAGCGGGGCTATACCCGTGATCACACTTAGCGCGGCCGTCGGCGTCGTCCTATACGCCCCACATGCGGTAATGGGGAAAGGCCTCTGCGCAGCCCTTAGCTATCTCCTGACTCTACTATCATGCATTCTACTCCCCCACACTTGCACACCATGCATAGCTGCAGGTTTCGCTACCCTTTCATATATTATTCTGACACAGTCTCTCTTCAATCCAATATTCCTCCCGGTCCATCTCCTCATTTTTCCCGCCAGTGTGTTTAGCTTTTTTCTAACCTCCTTGTGGTGGTCAATGACCAATAGTCCAGAGTCCACCACAATTCCCAGGTATTTGACATTCATTCTAACTTCAATATCTCTCTCATTCACTGTTATGACCGGAAGTCTTTCATCCCGTCTGGCCTGTATGTACATGCATTCTGTTTTCCTTTCATTGTATTCCTCCCACATCTCTTCCTCTCATGCTTTACATTCATTCCAGACCAGATTCCATTTCCTCTCGATATCGTCTGCGGAGCTACCTTCAATGATGACCAGCGTAGGTCTGCACTTGTACCCCAAACTTACCTATGCCTTGCCTCTCTTTCATACTTCTGATTCGTTCAAACCATACCTCCATTGGTCAGGTCCAATGCCACAAGCACACTGTGTCTGCTTCCTCTCTTATTTTCTTTAATTGTTTTCACCATTTTTTCTACTGCCATTACTGTATCCATTTCTCCTCTGAAACCATATTGGTTTGGAGAGAATTTCAACCTCCTTTCACACCAGACTTGAATCCTACCATTAAGAAGCCTGTCCAACATGCCTGTCAGTGAACTGATGGGCCTGGGGTTTCCGTCCTTCTTTGGTATCTATTCAACCTTTGTTTGCTTTCATACCGCAGGAAATACCTTCTTTCCAGACAGGCGTTGAGTAGTCTCAGCATGCTTTCTCCATCCCATTATGTTGTTGATGTTGCAGACTAGCAAGGTTGCAAGTGATGTTCGTGTCTTGAATCAGGCGGATGGCTCTTTTCTGGATGGAATACAGCAGGGTATGCTTAGAGGCGGAGCTCCATACATACTGCTTTCGTTGTTTCCATATAGATCATGTTCTAGCCAGCTTAACCACACCTCGAGAAATCTGACAGTGCATTAGGCTGCTATTGTTTATCGTGCATTGGTATCGAAGTTCAAAGATTATCATTGAAGTTCACTGTTTTTGAACCAAAATCTAGCTTGGTTTAGCTGTTTTCAAAATCTCACTCTCTCATCTCAATCTCTAATAAAGCGCCAACCCTCGAATCCATTAGGACAAAGGTAATGGATAATGATCTCATTCCAAAAATGAGCAAAGAGAAGTTGAGGAAAATAATAAAAAAAGATATAAAATTTATATATGCCAAACGATCCCGTAAATCTGTCTTAATAGAAAAAGAATATATAGTCTCATGGCGACAGAATTATCTTCGCTCTATTAGAAAAATGCGTTCTGCTCACAAAAAGATTTAATATCTGGACGAATCGTGGGTGAATGTTGGTCACACAGTATCTAAGATCTGGCAAGATACTACTGTAACTAGTTATCGTGAAGCATTTGTGGACGGTTTATCAACAGGGTTACGCGGACCAACAGGTAAAGGGCAACGAATAATTGTCGCCCATATAGGTAGCGGAAGTGGCTTTTTAGACGAAAGTGTACTAATTTTTTTATCCAGAAAAACGGGGGATTATTACGAGGACATGGGCGCCCAACGCTTTGAAAGATGGTTTGAATCCCTTCTTTCACGAGTCGAACTAAATTCGGTAATAGTAATGGATAACGCTTCGTATCACAGCCGATTAGTAGAACAGCAACCAACTATGACCACCAGAAAAGCAGACATGCAGAGTTGGTTAGGACAAAAAGGAATTCCATTTTCCGAGTTTCATTAAACAGCATCGTGATAGATATCGCCAGCATGTGGTGGATACAATAGCTCGTGCTGAAGGCCTCACCATTTTGAGACTCCCTCCTTACCATTGCGAGTTAAACCCGATAGAATTAATCTGGGCTCAAATTAAGGGTTACGTAGCTCGTGAAAAGGTGACATATAAAATTTCTGATGTCCAACGTTTATTAGAACTCGCAATGGAACGGATACGGAAAGAAGATTGGGCTAATGCTGTAACCCATGTGATCAAGGAAGAAGAGAAAATGTGGAGATTGGACGGGGTGGTAGACACTGTTTTCGACCAAATAATAATAGATTTAAGTGTGACTGGGGATTCCACTTCGGACGAGTCAATGTATTGACTGTATTAGGCATAATAAGAAAATGTAATCAGTTTCACCATTGACACCAGGTAGCGCCACCTACTATAACAATTTTTACGTAATTACCTATGTGTTCAAATAAATGAAAATATTATTTTGGTACGCCTCTGCAGAGTTGGTAAGAGGATTATTCGTTGGTCACTTCAAGTGCGACGTTGCTAATGAATCACCTTCAATTGAAAATTGTTGTAGTATATCACATGTGTTCTTTGGGACGAGTTGATACAACCGGTCAAATTTGAACAAGATTTTTATTTGAAGAAGGAATCTCGCACTTTGCCCCACTTGCCCCGCAGAGAACATCAAAACGTTGTAAAACAGCGTACCGAAAAACGAGGGTCTGCTTCCAAGGGCAATTTCGCTGATTACACGTTACATTGTGTCACTTTGATCAAGGAGGTCGTGTTTTTTACGCGAGGGACATGTCATTGTTTCCGCTATTGAGTCGGGCAATCATCATCCGAAGACCCCGACAATGACTTAAACTGATAAATTGCCATTTGCAAAGTCGCTCGCTCATACGCACACACCGATAATTGAATCAGAGAAAGCCGTGGAAAAAAGTAACCGCTACCGAATTGAAGGAGAATTAATTTTATGGGGTTTCTCGAGGTTAATAGCAGCCATGAGGGGTGGCCTTGGTACAGATGTACCTGAACTGAATCAATTATTATTTTTGACCGCGGCTTCACACAATATGTTAGTTGAAGAAAATATTTATTTACAGTTTTCGATTTTCGTTGTAACTTCAGTATATTGGAGAGTTTGAATTGAAAGTGTATATGTTTAGGACATAGGACATATTTGGGACATGAAGGTTTTGACGTTCTACTTCTCCATCTTGTCTACCAGTGAGGATGACTACCTATTGGGTAGTCTACCAATAAGCAATGAAGTGCCATCGCCCAGAACGCAACCCGAACGCGGGCAGACGCGTGACGGAAGACGTCGTTGGCGGATGTGTTAGTTTTGCGAATTTCTCTATAGGTAACATATTACGATTCTCCAAGCTATTCATTACTTAGTGCAGTTGGCTGTATTTTTGAAGTAAAAATATAAATTACTAGCTGTTACCCGCTCGTATATTAACGTACAGCCGAAGCTACTGAACCTAGAATCTTAAAATATGCAGGTAAGTTCTTTGTATATCGTAAATAAGCATCAAGAAATGGACTCAGGAATTTCCACCCCAAGGAGGAAAAATAGGGGTTCAAAGATTGTATTGAATTTCGTCAGTATTGAAATCGTAAACTAAACTTGAAGTTTTGGGTGATTGAAAAAATATTTCAACTATTTGTTTAGACTGGTATATCATGAAGCTCAATGTGTCAAACAAAATTCAACGCGGGCAAAGCCGCGAACAACTACTAGTCTCATATGAATGATTCATTTCGATGATTAGAAGCTGAACGTGTTGGATCGAAATTAAGACAACGTGATTTTTAGATGTAAATAAGAAAGCCCGATATATTCGAAATTCACAAAATATTTTTTAGTATCCATTATAATAATCGTGAATTTTCTCAAGAATCAATGTTGCCTCTAAAGTTCTAGATATAATTTTTAGAAAAATTTTCAACCTTTCCCGATTCTTTAAAAAATATGAACCAGGCGGATACATTCAAGACACCTGAAGCCCCATTCAATTGATACATTTTTATATTCGGTGAAAGAATAATATCATATGTTTGAAACTGCAATGATATTTGTGCCTCCTCTATCATCATATTCTTCTCCAATATAGTCGAGGATATAATCAGATCCTTGCCATCCTGTAATATCAACATGACAGATTGCTACTCTAACCTCCCTACACCTCGAGAATCTTTTTTTATGTTACCTGTGACCCATGAAGATGTAATACGATGAGATTAAAAAACTCAAGAGCTCAAACTCGTGTGACATAATATATTATTTAAATAGCCTTATCTTTAAAGAAACTCTAAATTATCTCATCGAACCGTTAACCATTCTGATAAACGGCTGTTTTTTTCTCAGATGTATAGAAATTTAGAAAAATTATACCTATTTTCAAAAAAAGAGATCCTTCATCACCTGCCAATTACAGACCTATTACTATTATACCCATCTTGGGAAAAATAATAGAGATCATAGTTAAAGAACGTCTGATGAGCTTTATGAATAAATATAGTATTCTCCACAAACATCAATATGGCTTCATGGAAAACAGATTAACAACTGATGCAGTTATGGAAATAATACAAAATGCAATAAACAATGAGGAACGTGGCGAACACACCTCTTTAACGTTGTGGGATCTGAGCAAAGCATTTGATTGTGTTAATCACAATCTCCTCATCAAAATACTTGAGTACTATGGAATTCGAGGAACCATCCAAACAAGTAGTTTGTTTGGATAGTAATAATAATAATAATAATAATAATAATATTTATTCACCATTTTTGATACACTTGGGTATATATGGTAAGTCAGTTGTACTACAGGCTAGTAAAGATAAAAAGAGTTGGAGATTGAACACAGAATCACCTCTAAATATACACATATACACATATATACACATACATATATACACACATATACAAGTAAGCATAGATGCCCTCAAATTAAGTAAACATTTTACATCATTCACATAATTTAATCTAAATAACATTTCGTCCACTGTGAATTTGATTGCTTGTGAGATTGTCAA